ACGACGCCCACAATCAGCCGGAAGCAGTCTTGAGAATTCGCCGCCCCAATTCCTTCAAACTGAAGTGTCTAATTTGCTTTTTATCAAAAGCAAGATGTGGGAATGATATTCTTGGGTCCCTGCCCTAGCCACGCCCACTCCCATAACCTCTGACCCGCCCATCGCCATCTTGGGACCTCTCTCTCTCTTTCTGCTTCCTTAGCGTGCGCACGCGTTTTCTCTCTCTCTCTCTCTCTTCTTTTATCTCTCCTCTCTCCTTTTATCTCTTTTTTCTGTCTTTCTTTCTCCCCCTTCCTTAATAAATACTTATGGCTATTTCCTGTGTTTACGTGTCTGTTACCTGCCGCCACCATGGGCCAAGGAAGCGTGCCCTCCTGTGGCCGCCCTCATGGCGGGCTCCCTCCGCCAGCCCGCCCGGGGATTGTTTGCAGCAGCTCTCTAATCGTTTTTTAAGAATAACAACACCCATCTTCTCACAATGGCTCTGGCATCAGGCCTCCGTGGCAAGAGAGATCCTCCAAGCCTGCCTCCCGTAAAGCAGAAATATTAAACACCTTGCCTACACATTTAATGCTCTGTCTCTCGAGTACAGAGCTTTGTCTCCCGAAAACAGACATTTAACGCCTTACATCCCGAATGCAAAGCCTCATTCCCTGAGAGTGGACATTGAAGGTCTGTCTCTCGAGAACAGACAAGATACTCTGCCTTTCAGAACGCTTTGCCATCCCGAGAGCAAAGCTTCGTCTTTGAGAGTAGAGAGCTAAAAGCCTTGTCTCCCGAGACTCGGTCACCTGAAAAGCCAAGTCCTAGGCCCTACATTCTGACCTCGGAACCTTATCTCCCAAGTGCAGACTATGGGGTCAAGAGTCGATCTATGCTACCCAGCCCCCAGGGTGGACAAGAGCCCAGCCCGAAGAAATTCAAAAAGCCCTTTTTAAGCCAGGGAATACCAGGTCGTATGATGCTATTTCATGTGTGTATAAGAGGTTAAGAGAAGAGCATAGGCGTGTTAATACATAAGTTTAGTGTGTGAAATGTTAAGAGATATTTTATGGATAACTGATAAGATTAGGAAATGTTAATGGATAAGTTAAGGTTAAGAAGTGTTTTATAGATAAGTAATGGATAAGCTGTATTAAGGTTAAGAAGTGTTTTATGAATAAGTGATAAGTTAGATTAAGGTTATGAATTGGTTTTATGTACTAGGTTTAGTAGGATTAATAACTGTGATGTTGAAATGCCTGTGTGTTGCCCATTATCAATTCCCCATGCCTATTAAGATTGTAAACCCCATTGATGCATTGGATATTGAAGTTGCTAGTAAAGAATCATTATAAAAACAATTCTCTTGCTTGGTCTGGTCACTCATCGCTCTCTGGGGAGAAGGGCAGAGTCCTCATAGATATTACTCGAAAAGAACCTGGAGCTGAAGTCCCCCAGCTCATAACACAAGCCAAAACAAAACAAGCCAAATTAAGAAATATCCAGGTTTAATGGGATTCCTGCGCTCTCAGGTGGCCCTGAGGGGGAACCAGGAGGCCAAATGAGGAAGGAAAAAGGACCACGTGTTTCTCCTTTGGGAGTTCACATAAATACTCTGGGATTTGGAGTCCAGACTAATACAGCTCGCAGGCCTGGGGGCTATGCTTCCAACTTAACAGTCACCTCCTCTGGTACGCAGCATCAGGAAGGACACCCCCAATGTTCCTGACTCGGGCTCAGCAGGTCCCTTCAGTTTCTATGCCAGGCACTTGCTTTGTTTTTATCTTTCTCTGTAGCTGGAGAAATGGAAACGGGGTGCGGGGTGGGGTGGTGGCTCTGTGTGTGTGTGGATAAGATCCTGCTTCGTGGTGGATAAATGCATGTGGAACTGGTAATATGTGGAAGTTTTACTTTATCTTAGTCCCAAACCAGGGCGAACGGTGGGGGTGGAAAGCTATCAGTGGGGAGGAGGGGAGGGAGCATTAGTCTGAAGGAAGGGCAAGGGTGAACCTATAAAAAAAATAATCCAGTTTGTGTCTTAGCCAAAAGACACAAGAGGAAAGTGCCTTGACCAAGGACCTCAGGAAAGAGACCCAAGGTCTTCTCCAAGCAGGTCGTCTGCAGAGCTGGAATGGCAGGGTCTTTCTTAAATAACAAATGGTCTAAGCAAGTTTGGTCAGAGCACCCCAAATAAGTGCAATTTAGACAGGTTTAGACAGGTTTCTGTGACAGACCCTGCCTAGAAGGCAGAGAGGTCATCCTAGAAACCAGGACACACAGAAAGGAAGACTTAAAGAAGTGGAAAAGAAACTTGGCTATCTCCTTCAATTGTGTTTTTTGTGCTTTGGTCGGTAAGCGATCAGGATGGAAAGAGAAGCTATGCCAAACAAGAAAGTCTGTAGGAACCAGAGGAGCTGGGCCTGGCCGTCTGTGATTCCTTTATGCCTGGAAAGGAGGAAATTTAAACAAGAGAATTTTAATGTTGGTGCCAGGGGATTATTGTGCTCTACTTTTAGCTCTATGTACAATTCTGAAGTGCAGTATATGAGGATATGGTTTGGGGGGTGTTTAATTTACATCAAACCACAGAATTATCTGAGGAGTTTTAGGAAAGTTACATATACATATACATGTACATATACATGTCGAAGCAAGGTCTATCAGATCACAATCTCTGGATCTGGAAACCAGGTATGCATATTTCAAAACAGCTCCTCATGTGATTCTGTTTTGAAACTGGATTAAAAACCAACAGCCCAGATCAATAACTCAGTTCTTTCGCAAATTATAAGAAGACAGAGTATTAACTGCTCTAGTTGGTTAGACACAATTTTTGTTAAATAACTAAATAATTGCCAGGTGATGGTAGCCTCTGCCTTTAATTCCAGAAATCAGGGGGCAGAGGCAGGTGGATCTCTGTGAGTTCGAGGCCAGCCTGGTCTATAGAGTGAGTTCCAGGAAGGCTCCAAAGCTATACAGAGAAACTCCGTCTCGGAAAAACAAAAAAAGGGGGGAAAAAACCCAACTAAATAATTAATTGGTCAATGCAAGCAAACTACAACCATTCATCAAACATTTACTGACTACTTCTGTTCCAGGCTCAGTATTAGGTATAGGGATTAAGGCTGCAGGCTCTCAGCCTCAAAGTGTATAAATTATTTAGACATGGCTGCTCATGACTTACATCAAATACCAAGATGAAAGTGAGAAGTTCCTATGACAAAGACTTACTTGCACAATACCATGGCATATATGGACTCTCCCACATGAATCAGACAAGTAAGCCAATACCTGAAACAACAACAAAAAGCCGTCTTTTAGTGTAAGGTTATAGTAATTTACTAATTAACTCTAACACAGAAACTTTAAAAAGAAAGGCATCTCAACGCAAACTAGCATCTCTGTTAGCTACCTAAAGGTAACTGTAGGCCTTCCAGGTACCCAGAGAGCCTGGAGCCGCAGTGAGTGTCCATAACCTCCCTTTCCTTACCCATTTCTTAGGAGGGTGTAATGGTGGTCCACCAAGTACTTTGTAAAGGGACCCAGGGGTCCGAGGCTCTGATAAGGGACACTCTGAGGCCAGAAGACAACCCACTGAAAGAGAACCAGAGACACAGAGCATGTCCAGTAAATGATTATATTCAACAGCAGCTGGGGAACAATTACCATTCTACAAAAACAACTACAGACCAAAGAACACGAACAAAGCATCCAGTTCTCCAGCACCAACTTTTATTCCTGAATAACAACTTAATTGTGAGATTTATGCTGAAGACAATTGCTTATCAGAATCAGTGTCCAGGGCTGGTCGGTGGTGGCGCACGCCTTTAATCCCAGCACTCGGGAGGCAGAGGCAGGCGGATCTCTGTGAGTTCGAGACCAGCCTGGTCTACAAGAGCTAGTTCCAGGACAGGCTCCAAAATCACAGAGAAACCCTGTCTCGAAAAAACAAAAAACAACAACAACAACAAAAACAGAATCAGTGTCCGGGGTGACTGCTATTCTTTTTGTTTGTTTTTCGAGCCAGGGTTTCTCTGTAGTTTTTGGAGCCTTTCCTGGAACTAGCTCTTGTAGACCAGGCTGGCCTCGAACTCACAGAGATCCGCCTGCCTCTGCCTCCCAAGTGCTGGGATTAAAGGCGTGCGCTTTTCTTAATGGACGGCAGTAAAATGTTATATTATGGATGTCATTAGCCATTTGTTAAAGAATTTGCATGCCTTGGCTAGGCTGCAGAAGTTACAGCCGGAGCAGATCTAGCCCCCATTTTAATTTAGAACTGTTCTTTCACCTTCTGGACCCCTAAAACTGAAGTTTGAGCTGCAACTGCTTATTTGTATAAGGGTTCTGTAGCTGAATTACCACCTTCTCAGCCTCTGCCGCGTAGTTTCTGTTATTACATGCTAACATTTGCAAAGACTATTACAATTACATTATATTATATATTTTATTATAGTCCTGTACATTTCTGTCAAGGACACCTTTACCTCTCTGTGGATGTTATTTCACAAAGTCCATATGAAGCTAATATTGTAACTGCATCTTTCCAAATGAAGGGAACTAAGGGGTTGTACTTGCCATCTCCACAATATCTGTTTGAATTAGCAAAGGCTTCCTCCCTTCTATATCCGCTAGGCGGGGACCTCAGAACAAAAATATATCCTTGAAAATTTTCAATTCACGCCTCTGCATATGGTGAAATTAGGACAGGGGTGATCACACTAGGCACCAACAACACTGTGGACACGACAATCCTTGGGTCTCCTGGAATATTTAAATAGCATTTCTTCATAATTATACCAATTGAGCCCAATTTTTCAGCATCTTTCTTGTTATTCTTTAAACAGAATCTTTCTCAACTGGACAAAAGTTATTCTTCCTCTATGCAACTGTCTTCTTCCACATCCAGTTACAGTCTCTCCTTTCCTTCTTACTAATTAAACCCTACCCATCCATTAAGTTTATCATCATTTTCCAAGCAGTTCAAACTATTCAAACTCTGCTTCGAATTTTATATTGAGTTGTTAGGTCTACGGAAATATACTAACTTCACACCATCCTTTCCTAAACGATAAAACTTGGTTAAACCTCAATGACACGGAGGGAGAGGACGCCGGACCGGAACACCGTCAGCTAGAAGATCCCCAGTGCCCACCGAACTTCCGCGTACACCAGTAACCTAGGCAACCGCCGTTCGCGTGCGCAGAAGCCGCCCCCACCTCCACCGCGCGCGCACTTCGCCCTCAGGGGTCTGGGGGCCAGAAGCGCCCGTGGATCCCAAACCTCACCGCGACGTAGCCCAGCCCCAGGGCGGTGATCAACGAGGGCCAGGGTCTGGCTGCACGAAAGTATGTAGCGGCGTCCCTGCGGACCTCCGACTTCGCCACCACCATCTTGAGAGCCCTAAACACTGGGTTGTGGGCCAAGACCTGCTTCTCACCCTCGTCCACGCAGGGCGAGCCGGGCGAGCCGGTTTCCCAGGCTTAGCTCGGGCACGCCAGGGCGACTGTGCCACCCGTGCCTGCCGCTTGCCGGCTTTACCGTGTAGTAGCTGAAGGAGACGGTGATGACTGTGAACCAGAACAGGCTGCCCCTTTGGAAGTAGCCTGCACCTGGCGCCGTCCCCATGGCTGTAGCGACTCGGCTGGGCTGTCTTTTACACCGGGCGAGACGAGCGGCTTCTGTGCACCAGACACAGAAGGTTTCGGTTGCGGGTGACCCCGGGAATCCGGTGCAGGAGGCACCTCCCTATTTCAGCTAGAGTGGCTCCTGTTTTGCCGCCCCCATAATGGCGAGACCAGTTTCCGAGCCAGTCCGGTGAGACGTGCACCACGAGAAGTATTGCGCCTCCTCCTCATTTGTTTAATGGGTGGGGCCGTACACCGCGGGCGGCCGACGGTGTCAGGCTATCCTAAGTGAGCTTAGTGTGGTTCCTTAGCCTGTTCATACTACAAATAAAATACATCTTAGAAAAAGTAATTCTGCCAAATCTCTAATTTTGCCAGTTTATCAGCTGTGTGTGTGTTGCATTTTTATGGGACTCATTCATTTTGTCTTTTTGTTTTGTTTTTCGAGACAGGGTTTCTCTGTGTAGCTTTGATGCCTGTCAGTCATGGAACTAGCTCTTGTAGATCAGGCTGTCCTCGAACTCACAGAGATCTGCCTACCTCTGCCTCCTGAGTGCCCCCCCCATTTTGTCTTGATGAAAGAAATTGGCAGGCATAGTTTAAAAGATTTATTTATTAATAATGTGTACAGCATCTGCCTGCTGTATCCCTGCAGGCCAGAAGAGGGCACCAGATCTCATTGTAGATGGTTGTGAGCCACCATGTGGTTGCTGGGAATTGAACTCAGGACCTCTTAACCTCTGAGTCATCTCTCAGCCCCGAAATTGGTATATTTTTAAAATATTTATTTATTTAAAAATGTTCTTTTTCATTTTACATGCCAATCCCAGTTCCTACTCCCTCCGCTCCTCCTGTTACCTCTACCTTACCCCCCATTTCACTTGCCATCCACTCCTCAGAGAGGGAAAGGCTTCCCATAGGGAGTCAACAAAGTCTAGCACATCACTTTGAGGCAGGACCAAGACCCTCCCCACTATATCTAGGCTGAGCAAAGTATCCCTCCAGAGAGAATGAGTTCCAAAAAGCCAAAACAAGCAGTAGGGATAAATCCTGGTCTCACTGCCATTGGCCCCACAGTCTGCCCCAGCCATACAACTGTCACCCACATTCAGAGGGCCTCGTTTGGTCCTATGCTCGTTCCCTTACTGACAGGCCGCAGCTGGAAGGCTCCCATTAGCTCAGGTGTACTGTTTCAGTGGGTGTCCCCAACATGATCTTGACCTCTTCGTATTCTCACTCCTCCCACTCTTCAGCCGGACTTTGGGAGCTCAGCCCAGTGCTCTGCTGTGGGTCTCTCTGCCTCTGTTTCCATTAGTTGCTGGATAAAGGTTCTACGGTAACATTTAAGATAATAGGATAGTCATCAATTTGACTACAGGGCAAGGCTAGTTCAGGCACTGTCTCCGTTATTGTTTAGGGTCTTAACTGGGGTCATCCTGTGGATTTCTGGGAATTTCTCTAGAAATGGTACATTTTTGAAGTTGGTGCAATTGAAGCATGGTTTTAGACATTTAGACTTAACATCCTTTTTTTTTTTTTTTTGACAGAGTTTTGCTATGTAGTCCTGACTGGCATTGGCCTTTAATTTATAGAAATCTGCCTGCCTCTGCCTCCTGAGTGGGATTAAGGGCATATGTCACCATGTGTAGACCCATTTAAGGTAAACTTTTACCATCACAAGACAATGAAACGCATTGATTGTATACCTGTTTTCTTTCTTTCTTTCTTTCTTTCTTTCTTTCTTTCTTTCTTTCTTTCCTTCCTTCCTTCCTTCCTTCCTTCCTTCCTTCCTTCTTTCTTTCTTTCTTTCTTTCTTTCTTTCTTCTCGTGTGTGTGTGTGTGTGTGTGTGTGTGTGTAGGAGGTCAGTTTACATGTGGAAGTCAGAGGACAACTTGTAGGAGTTGATTTTCTACGTTTCACTTATGTAGGTTCCAGAGCTTGAACCCATGTAACCAGGCCTGGCAGTAGGTACATTTACTCATGAACCATCTTGCCTGCCCCATTTAATTTTGTTTTAGTTAAAAAAATTAATGATAACATAAAACAATAGGGGCAATGAGGTTTTGTTGTTGTTGTTGTTTCTAGACAGGGTTTCTCTGTGTAGCCCTGGCTGTCCTGGGAGCGGGAAAGTAACATCAAGGAAAGTCCTAAAGGGGCTTGAGAGACTGATTGGCTGCTCTTTCAGAGGACCCAGATTCAAACCCTAGCACCCACAATACAGCTCACAACTGTCTATAATTCCAGTCTTACGGGATCTGGTACCCTCATTTGGCTTCTCATGCCACCAGGCATGTGTTACACAAAGATGCATGCAGGCAAAATACTCATACACATGAAATAAATAATTCTTCTTTAAAAAAGAAAAAAAATCCTTTTCAGTCTCCCTCTTAAAGAGACAGCTTCTGCCCCCCCTTCTCCCTTTCCCCCTTCTGCCCACCCCCTCTCTCTCTCTGTCCCTCTCTCTCTCTCTCTCTGTCTCTGTCTCTCTGCACACTGACTTCCCCAGGCCTGTACACACCGCCTCTAATAAACTCCTAAGAAGGAAAAAAAAAAAAAAAAAAGAAGCCGGGCGGTGGTGGCACACGCCTTTAATCCCAGCACTCCTCGGGAGGCAGAGGCAGGCAGTTCGAGGCCAGCCTGGTATACCAAGTGAATTCCAGGATAGGCTCCAAAATGACAGAAAAACAGTGTCTCAAAAAAACAAAAACAAAAACAGAAGAGCTTGCATCACACAATGCTGTGTTGTGGGGCTGAACACAGGCTGTGGGGTGTTTTTCAAAAGGTTGAAGAACTTGGTGGATGCTTACAAAAGCCTAGCCTCAGAGAGTAGGGGAGAAGAAGGGAATGGAGAGGGATGGAGACATTGGCCACCACAATTGATGACTTAGGAACATTAAAAAAGATTGAGCAATTTGGAACAGTTTTTTTTTTTTTTTTTTTTTTTTTTTTTTTTTTTTTTTGGCATCATTCTTTGCCAGTGATGCCTGAATAATGGAGTGAGAGAGAGGAGGGGCAGGCTGGAACTGAAGAGAATATAAGACAGTAGGCACAGAGGGTTTCTGCTCCTGGGGTTTCCTGGCAGCAGCTTGAGGTTGAAGGGACAGGACAGGTCACCCCTAAGTGGGAACTCAGGATGCTGAGAGAAAATGACAGCAAATAGCAACATACCTGTCTGGAACTTTGAATTTTGGGGAAAGAAAACAAATGCTAGAAGAAGCATGGGTTTACCCTACATCTTGTTTTTGGGTTGAACAATTCAGCAGATAAAATCCTTGCTAGCCAAGTATGGCACAGGCCTTTAATCCCAGCACTTGCGAGGAGGAGACAGGTGGGTCTCTATGAGTTTGAGGCCAACCTGGCCTACATAGAGAGTTCCAGAATAGCCAGGGATACACAGTGAAACTGTTTCAAAAAAAAAAAGAAAGAAAGAAAAGAAAAAAAGATCCTTGTTGTAGGACCAGATTTTTTTCATACACTCACCAAACAGGCCCAGAAGACTGGGGCTGGGACTCAGTGTCTAGGGCTTGCCCAATGCAAGGTTTGGATGTTTGAATCATGCATAATGTATACACTTTCCAGTTCAAAAGAAAAAGAAAAGCAAGCTACTCGTATTGCTTTCCACATTTACTACAAGCTAATGTGTTTTGGCTGGTTGGGGTGGGAACATGCTTTGGATAAAGGGGAGGAGAATTAATCCTCTGTAGCCCACATTCCAAGATGGGAAGTTGGGTGGGGGTAGGGACGGCTAGATCAGGCCTTCTGTTTTTCTTCTAAGTTATTTCTGTCTGGCCCCCCAATCCTCTAGTAGCTCAGATGACCTTGAGTTTCTGATCCTCCCACTCCTGCTTCCTGAGTTCTGGGATTCTCAGTAGGTGCCCTCACAGCCACTTTATGCTGGGGCTGGGTTTGAGCCCTGTGTACTTAGGTGAGCACTTTGTCCCCTGAGCCACTTCTCTAGTCCCTCCCCACTTTTACGGTTGACTTTTTCTCTCTGGCTGACTAGTTATTCTTGTGGAGTTCTACTTCTTGCTGTCAGCACCATCTCCCTCCTCAACTTCAGCTGCCTTTGTCAGCAGCTGCCTCAGCCTCACGGTCCTTTCTTTCTCTGCTTCCTCTTACTCCCCTTCTTTTTCCTTCTTCGTTTACTGCCTTGCCTGCCTGCCAGCTGGGACCTCTCTCTTTCTCTTTTATTATGTTTTTGAGACAGGATATCTCTGTGTAGCCCTGGCTGTCCTGGAACTCACTCTGTAGACCAAGCTGACCTCAAACTCATAGAAATCTACCTGGCCTCTGCTTCCTTAGTGCTGGCATTAAAGGCATGTCCCACCAGGTCTGGCTTGGGACATCTCTTCTCTCTCTGCCTATAAGCTTTTGGAGATGATCTGGGAGATTGGTAGTGTGTCCCAGGCCTCCTCTGGCACAGTGGGGCACGCCAGAGTGTTTGTGGAGACATGAGGAAAAGCATGAGAGTCCAGCGCGTGCTCTCACAGGAGGAGGCTGCCAGAAGCAGGTAGCAACCTGGGAATAAAGATGAGCCAGCTTTCTGGAGAAGCATCATTTTGGTCTCTCTCAGCACATCTCTAGCATCATCCCACCCCCATCTATCCCAGTGAACATGGTACTGCTCCCAGAGCAATGGTTGAGGTCCCTAAGCAGACAGCACAGGACCACTACAGCCACTGCTCTTGAGCAGTGCTGCCCAGGACGTCATGATCTGTTCACTGGTGTGTTCCTTTAACCTCAGCTTCATTAGGGCTACCGAACATGGTCCATCCTGAAATCAAGCCGGAAACTCAGAGCTCCAACTTAACCTTGCTCCTCTGTGACTCCTGCCATTAACTTGCTCAGTTAAAAAATTATTTCTTTTTTTAAAAAAAAATTATTTATTTATTTATTTATTATGTATCCAATGTTCTGTGTGTATGCCTGAAGGCCAGAAGAGGGCACCAGATCTCATTACAGATGGTTGTGAGCCATCATGTGGTTGCTGGGAATTGAACTTAGGACTTTTGGAAGAGCAGGCAATGCTCTTAACCACTGAGCCATCTCTCCAGCCCAAAACATTATTTCTGATCGGTGGTGGTGGCACATGTCTTTAGTTCCAGAGCTCTGGAGGTAGAGTTCGAGCCTCAGCTTTCTGAATAGTTTGGAATTATAAGTGTCCATTTTCCCCATTCTTGATTAGAACTAAAGGTTAA